AAGTAACCAAGATAGTCAAGTCTAGAAAACATATCTTTGAAAAATGGTCAAGAAAACTTGGAAACTTATCTTAGAAAAGGGAACTCCGAGGCAAAGGACATGAATTCCTTTAAAATATTTGAAGGCTCCAGGCAGTAATCATGGAATCAAGCGTGGTTCCTTTCCAGGGGAAGCATGCCTTATTGATCTCTGTGTCTCCCTGAACTCCTGCCCCTGTGCTGGGTGGATGGATAGATGGACAGACACAGGAAACCGTCACTGACACACTGCAGAGCTTTCCAGTAATATAACGGTCTTCCTCCTAAGTCAGTCACTTTTTTTCTATTAAAGAAATGGTCATGAAGAGACTGGATGACTGTAGCAAGAGAACACTTTCCTGCATTGAGTGGGAAGTTGGACTGGTCGTTAGGTATTTGCTCCTGAAAAGTGGAGTCCCTGCCAACAATCACGGGACACACAGAAAAATTTCTGTGCAGTTATCCACGGAGATTTTGATTTGTTTTTACTGCACCATAACTTCTTCTTTTCTAATACATAGTCATTGATAATCATTTTGGATAGGACTCTAACATGTGATGTAGACTAAGGAAAGTTGACTAACTTTTCTAGTCTAATTGGACTGTCATAATTGAAGGTTAAAATAAATAACCCCCCAGGGAGCCTCTACTCAAAATGATATAATATTGTGATTCTGAGAGTCAAGGAAATCTCCTGAGGAAGTAGTGGGCTTGTCACAGCTACGTTGGTGTAACTGCATAGGGTCGGAAACTTAAGAGCTTTTACGGGCAGGGGAATGGTTTTTCTAGAAGACTCTTTGGAGATACGTGATAATGATAAGCCATGTTTTGGTATTTTGTGTTGTGTAGTCAACACCCAGGACCATCCTGAGATGTTACAAAATCTTACCCTTGTTTGATTCGAAGTAATTAACATGGAAATCTTCAGCTTTGATGGGAAAATAACAAATGCCATATTCCACCTGCACCATCTCACCCAGTTCTCTTTCTCATCATCAATCTACCCCTCCCTATCTGTCCCTAATGAATAAACTGAGGTTTCCAGAAAATTAAATGCTTTCTCCAACCAAACAGCAGGATCTAATCACAGGTTTGCTTGGATCAAAAGCTCAGGTTCTTAATCTGCAAAGTATTTTTAGAGTAGGTTATAAACTTTTAAGTAGAGACAACTGTGAAAGTATGGTGCTCCAAATTTAATCCTGTTCCTTTTTGTGTATGGTTAAATTGACTTCATCTAGCAAATTCACGCACCATGGCTTTCAATTTTGGCCACATGCTGGCTTTTCCAGAATTATTAATATTCTCTTTGGAGAAGTTCTTCAGTTTCAGGAAGTTTCTCGGCAGTTTTTCCCTCTTTGTTGCTTTTTTCCCATTTCCCGTCCCACACTACTTCATCTATAATATGCACCTGTTATGGTCTATTATTCTGCCTGTAATTTTAAGTCCCTGATCCAAAATAACAAGCAACACACTACTAAATTATCAGCTGTGTGGGTTTCTGTCACTGTGTGAAAGGCATGTCATTTTATATTTCTGCCTTCCACTATAGAAAATTAAGACACACAGATTGAACTATTCTCAACCAAGATCCTTCCTGTTCTTTCATATCTATTTTTGCATCTTTCCTGACACACTCTTGACATATTCTTCCTCGTGCCATTACTTCCATTTCTTGTTTTCTGCTTCTTGAATAACATTTTATAGTAGAGATTCATGACCCCCTAGACTATCCTCTGTACAAAATATCAGAAAGCAAAGCATAAGAACATATAAAAAATCTTATGATAACATAATATCGAGAATAAAAATGGCTATCATGTTAGTCAACCCCTAGCAAATTACAACAGCAGTAAAGCCAGAGGAGTACAAGGAAAACCACAAAATGAGATGGCACCAAAGTACTCTGACTTTAAAGTCAGATTCTCAAGGATTTCGATGCTCTGCCGATAGGCCATTAAAAACTGTACGCATAGTTTTTTATTTAAAGCAACTTTTCCCCATAAGATAATCATTGCAGAGCAGTTAGTTTGCAGCGGGCACTGTGGTCACCTCCCCACAGACCTTCCACACCTCCCTCGTACTGTTGCTACCTGTCACAGCTCCACAGAGGTGACCCATCATTATGACGGTAATCCATTTTCTTGCATAATATTATAGCTTATTCTGTAATCAAATAGCAAAGGAACTGACGCAGTGGTAAATGTGTGCCCCAGGTAGGACCAGTGAGACTTAAGGATACAGGCTGAGGAATTCTAGGGGCAACACCTTTGTTGTTCTCAGAAACAGAGAGAGTTTCAGATTTCTGTTTTCGGGTGGTGTGGAGGTGAAGCCTAGTACTCACGCAGCCCTCTGCCACCAAGAGAGAAGCCAGCCGGCCACAGATCCCTGCAGAGGGTGAGCAGAGTCCTGTCCTGAGACGGACCTTCCACTTGAGCCAGTCAGCCTGTTTTTTTCTTAAGTCCATTTGGATTTTGAGTTTTCCATTGCTTGAAACAGACATTACTAAACTGTAGCTGATACGGCATTCCCTTTATTTTTAATTTCCTATTTTTAATAATGCACAGATATATTCACGTTCTATGCTGTTCGTATCCCAATGTTAGATCATTTAGATCACATCTCATTACATCACATCTTTAGAAGACACTACCTCTCAAGGCAGTTTTATGAAAATAACAAAATCAAATCTGGGAACTCACAGGAATCTTAGGAGATTATGTGAAAGATCTTTGAAGTATGTAAAGCACTCCAGCGACAAAGGATAATGATTTATCTTTATTCTAACGTGGTGGTAGAATGTTAGTCTGTGGTGCACTTATTTTTATTTATTGTCAGGCCACTGTCCCAACTGTTTGAACTAACTAAACAGCCAGAATGTCTGAGGCCCCAGTGAGTGGCCTGCTGGATAAGACTCTCCATGGTGTCACCTCACTAACCCATTAAGCCACACAGTGCGATGTGACTGCCAAGAGCTCTCAGAATCCGAATCTTCCTTCTCGCTCTGTATAGTGTTGAATTCACCCACAGGCAGCTGCGATCCTAGACTCCAGCTAACTCTGTTCTTCTCCCACACATCTTCAATTCTGCATCTCTGCTTTTTGGTCAAGGCCTCCCCCCCACCTCTCTAAGAACGGAACTCTTGCACACACAAAGTCCACAGCCGTTTCTGGCTCTTTGGCCCTGATTTTACAATACTGAGCACTCACCCCTAATGCTTCAGTTTTTCTTGGTAATTAGATTGTCAAATTCTGAAGAGCAGGGATTGAGATTTACTTCTCTTGTGTGAAGCTTCAAGTAATATGCAACAGAGTAGATTATTAAATAATCACTTTCCTGATCAATTAACCTGTTTTTACTTAGAGATCTTAGACAATCTCTTGCATGGATCTAGAAGATTTCAGATGACTAGATTGGCCCAGGGTTGCCAGATGTCGCAAATACAAATAGAGGATGCCCAGTTAACTTTGAATTTAAGGTAAATTAAAAACTCCTTTTTTTAGTGCAAATGGATCCCGTGCACTGTTTATGATGTAATTAAACAAAAAATCCTCTGTTTTTTTAAATTTAAAATTCAGATTTGAATTGGTGTCTTTTATTTGACGTGCCAATCCTCCATGGGTTGGACCTAAAGACAAGTAAAACCTGACCTTATTTTTCTGACTTATAAATAAGAGACCGCACTTAAGACTTTTCTAACCTCATAGCTTTTGCTAATCAAGTTCTATAGCGCATAAAGTTCTCTGCATTATTCCACCAGTCGGGAAGCAGAGACGTGGTATCCATGGTGTGGAAGTCACCAGGCCTGCCGTGTACAGGGCGGTGGGGTGAGGGAGGTGGCATCAGTGCCCTAAGCAGCTTCTCCTCTGGTGGAGGGACAATCCGTGTCAGACAGCTCTGCAGCTAACCCATGTGACCAACTAGTAGACCTGACTCAGCTCTCCTGAGGAGAGAACCCAGATAACACTATAGATGTAGGTTGTCAAAAATAAGGGATATCATTTTTGAAGTACACATCACATAGTTCTAACTTTAAAGTGTTATAGAAACAACATAATCCATAATCCTAAATGAAACCAGCTATTCATAGTTTGTTTTGATTAGCACAGTGAAATTTCAGATTCTGATAATGCAATTCAACTTCTTATTGTGGAAGATTCTTTTCCTGGTGACTAGACACTTAACACACATCTTTATTTAGCATAAACAATGGAAATAGGGGGCATGACAATTTTATTCCCTCTTTATAAATCTGTCACAGGTAAATGATGTGCCAATGACTTACTCTGAGTTACTACACAGGTGGCTGCTAGGTGCCCTGGTTTTCATTTTGAACCTCTCTGCTGTGAGGCTTCAGTCTGTTTTAGCTAATCTCTTATTATCCAACCTTTTCTGCAAGGGAGAATGAGGCCATAGGAGGCCTGGTTTTCTCTCTCTGTGTGTGTGTATGTGTGTGTGCATGTGAAATTTAATAGTTAAAATTTTTAGTAGATCACTTTTACTAGCTATGTGTCATGTAAACATTGAGTGTTGATTATAATAATCAAATAGTTAGGATCCAGGGATGTAAAGCATGTTTTTCATAATAGTATTATGGTATATAAAACACTTTCTCAGACTTACGACATACAATTCAAGATTGTAAAATAATGTCACCTTAACATACCATATACAGATTTTTAGTTTTGCAGTAGTGTCATATTTTTCCTGTGATGCTCAACCCTGCAATCTGTGTTTTTATAGAGACCATTTTAAATAAAAATGATGAGTTCCATAGAGTCTGGCTATTTATTACGCTATCACAAGAAAGTACGTATGGAGTGGTATTAGCAGGCAATGAGAATATTGGGGGAAGCTATGTCAATTTCAGTGACTTGTCAATTACCCAGATAGATGGAGAAAATTAACATTATTATACCCAGTCTTTGAAAATTATACAATACTCATTTACAGTGGATTTTTTTTTTAAGTTATCAAAAGAATTACCTTAGGTAGCTCTTCAATTTGATTGGCATCTAGATAAAGCTCCTCTAATGTCCGTTCAAAGTTAAAGACCTCCTTCGGCACCTGCTGCAGACTGCAGTGGGAGTAATCTAAAACCGAGATGATTTCTTCTTCACCTCGGAAACATCGGCACGGCACCAGACGGCCGATGATCTTCCGTTTGGTGGTCATCTCCAGGCACTGCACTAGAGAAAAACAAGCAAACAGACAAAAAACCTTAACTAGCTGCACGTGTTAGGAATTCTTGCAATACTGAAAGCTTAGAGTATTGATTTGTTATATATTTCATAATTCTATGGGCTTTAAGCTTATATAGGATACATACATGCGTTATATCATTGAGTTCTTAAACAGCCCTAGAAGGTAAGTGAGATAGATTTTGTGCCCATTTAAAAATGGACTCAGAAAGGTTGAGATACTTCCCCTCACCACACAGCTTCAAAATGGCAAAATCAGGCCAGAACCTTGACTCAGTGCAATGCTACCAGCTGACTCCCCTCTCACTTGAAACCTGGATCTATATAATATGCTCTGTAGTTTTACACAAATTACAGTGTAGAACAGACATCTTCAGAATCATTTCTCTGATTTCTATAAAAATATTAAAGTTTCATACTCAAAGTTCATGGTGCCCTCTTTCAAACCCACAAATCCATCCCATCACTGAACAGAAACTGAACACCTGCTGTGTAACAGTCACTGATGTAGGTGATGGAGCAATGCATGGAACCAAGACCCTATTTTCACAGAGTTTAAATTCTTTTTTTTTTTTTTTT